TTTTTAACCTTAGCAAATAACGAATTTTAAAATAGAAATTAGTAGATATGCATATATCTATAGAAATCCGTTTAAATTCGGTCTTTTATCTTAGTCCAACAGTGTATTTAAAACAGTACGGTGTCATTTCAGCTAAAGTCTCTAATGGTGCGGTTTTCGACAGTGCGCTCAATTTGTTTTAATGAAGTTGTATTTACATGAAAAATGTACAAAGTGTGGAAGAAGAATGCATAATGTTGCCCTAAGCGAAGCGAAACAATTGACAGATATGCGACGTTCAACGTTGTAAACCTAGAAATCGATGGAGAGTCTGCAGCTTGCATTCAGAGCCAGTATTCTCATAAATTATAGATAAATGAAGCTGTAACTATTAAAAGCGAGATTTAAAATTTAACTGATAGGTTCCATTAAACCACATGATTCCTCCTTATTAGAAATTCTTAGTACGGTGTAGGTTATCGGAGATATTTGTTGAATATTTTTAGTTTTTGATTCATTCTAATAACAATGTCATTTTGATAAAATAAACCGTCCATAAACTTCTGCTGGCCCCAAATTGTACATGGTAGAGATGTGATTGTTGCTTTCAGCTTCATGATCCATATGTTCTATATAGGATGACTTGGCAATATTTCTAGTGTACAAAGTACGAGTATATCGAAAAATAACAAAAATAGTTCTCAAAATGCCGCATTACCAAGATACAGGCTGTTGTATATTTTTACGCCACTGATAGGACTAAGAAAGACCTAAACAAGAATATTGCTGAAATAGCGATAGGATGAGATATGATTAGTCTCCTAATACACTACGTGAAATTTTCAATAGCAAGGCTTCACTAGCTTTACCGTACTTTGGAAGTAGAACGGGATGAAGCTTTTCAAACGAATTTTTATATTGAAACTATTTTTTCTCAAAAAAAAAGTAATCTGACAGTAATTTCTCAAACGTGGTGATAACGTTATTTAAAAACGTAATAATTGTTCCAAAAAGGTCATTGGCGTAAAAAATAATTCTTTTTTTTCCTCAGTAGAGTCAAAATCTCCAAACGTCTACGCCACTGTCTCAGGCACGATTTTTTTTATGTTTTGGATAAGCTGTTAGTACCACTAATATCTTAACATGAAGATATACTTTTTCTCGATTTCGAAATTATAACTTCAACAACCTGTATTTCGGTAAGCTGCCATTATAGGACCCTTGTTTATATGAACTTTTCGTAATATTTTTCGATCTAGCTGTACTTTATGCCATATGAATATTGCCCATTTTTTTAATCACCCTATACAGGGTTATCCAAATTAAGTGTCCACCATTAGTAACTTTGTTATTAGTGAAAATACAAAGTTGTTTGAATTAGCAAACTAGTAGCATTTTTAACGCTGGTAAAAATGAGAAATAAAAAAAAACAATTGAGAGTCGTTATTTTGATTTTTTTCAGTAAAATAACATTTTTTTAAATGGAAACCCCTGTATATTATATTTTTTTCTGTTAAAGCATCAAATTTTAAACAAAAAAGTTCATAATGACTTTTCCGCTAAAGTCAAAAATAAAGTCAAAATAACGATAAATATTTTTAATTATTTGCAGTATTATAATATTAAGACGGCTATGAAAACAACATGGCGTTTGCGATTTGACAGCATTAAGATAAGCTACAAATTGTTAAACTGGACATACTCGCAACTAGAAGGCTTTGGAAAACAATGATAAAATCAAATAATGTCAAACATTAGTGTAAATACTTGTTTATAAGCTTTATTGTGTCATTAATTTAAAGAAAAATGTTCTCCCATGAAGAAAAGTGTGATATGTTAGAATGCTATTTAGTGTGCAGAAAATCCTCCTTGAGAGCAAGAGAATACTACAGTGAATTATATCCCGCTCGCATTCAACCGTATGAACGATATTTTCTGAGACTTTATCGAAAATTTAGGGGCAACGAAAATGTTTTTGCTAAAACAAGGGCAAAAAAAGAATTCGTAATAAGCGAGGCCACGGAAATTGCAGTTATTGGATATTTTGAAGCTTATCGTGAGAATTCAATAGCAGATATTCTCAAGGACTCTAATTTCAGTTATGGTACTGTTCAAAGGATTTTAAAAAAATACAAATTTATTCCGTATAAGTACCGACCAGTTCAAACGCTTTTGGCAGGGGATCCAGAGAGAAGACTTGTTTTTTGCCATTGGTATCTTAGCTTCTGTCGCCAAAATGTAAATAACTTTCGTTACCTTTTATGGACAGATGAATCAAATTTTTCAAATTCTGGAATGTTTAATAGAAAAAACCACCATTATTGGTCAAGAGAAAATCTTTTGTTAGTACATCCAAGAGGCCCACAAGTCCGTTTCAGTTTCAACGTTTGGTGCGGTATAATTGGTTCAAAAATTGTTGGCCCGTTCTTTTATGAGGGAACCCTAACTGGTGAAAGATATGTGGAATTTATGTCAGAAATTCTGACTAATTTCTTAGACGAATTGGATCTTATAAGTAGACATCATCTGCATTTTCAGCAAGATGGCGCACCTGCCCACAACTCCAGAGGTACTTATCATTTTCTAAGTACTACTTTTAATGATCAGTGGATAGGAACAAATGGCCCAATACAGTGGCCTCCCAGATCACCAGATCTAAACCCACTTGATTACTTCTTGTGGGGTTACTTAAAGAACCAAATTTACAAGCGAAGGTACGATAACCTTGACGCGTTAAAGACTGCAGTTAGGGAAAAGATAACCCAGATAGATGGTAGGACCATACTTAAGACAGTTCGAGCAGTTGAAAAACGTGCCCAAAAATGTATTGAAGAACAAGGTGATGTTTTCGAGCATCTTCTTTAAAAAAAATTGTTATTGTATTTTGTAAGATTATAAGTTGATGTTGAAAATAAAGTTTGTCGATACAATTTAATTGTTTCAGATTGGAGGCCATAACTTCAACAATTTGTAACCTAGGAGAAAAGTTATTGTTAGCTTTTTTGTTTAAAATTTGATGCTTTAACAGAAAAAAATATAATATACAGGGGTTTCCATTTAAAAAAATGTTATTTTACTGAAAAAAATCAAAATAACGACTCTCAATTGTTTTTTTTTATTTCTCATTTTTACCAGCGTTAAAAATGCTACTAGTTTGCTAATTCAAACAACTTTGTATTTTCACTAATAACAAAGTTACTAATGGTGGACACTTAATTTGGATAACCCTGTATAGACCAGGTACCACGAAATGTATATCACACGTTAACGGATTGGGTTTGGTAATTTATACATTTTGGGCATCCGAACAAAGTAGAAATACTTTTACCAATATCTATAGTAACTTTTCTCTAATTTTTGAGGCTGCGTAGTGTCGGCTTTAAAGTTCAAACTTTTCCTTAAAAGACTCTAGAAAGTATTTTGGCATTAGTTTATTTCAAAACATTGTTATTAAACTATTAATAGATGCACGTATTCCTTTATAGTACAGTGCATCCAACGTATGAGGAATACATATATTTGGGATCCCGTACTAATACTTTCTGTGTTGCATCTGAATGAAAGTAGTTTTCTTTCGATTAATACCAAAGCTTCAGAAACAATGGCAATACGGAACAAAACTATTGATAAATGCACGGTATTCAAAGCATTAGTGTGGTCCTCGGGAAATTTAAAATGGCGCTCCTCTTACGGTAACTCACTTCACAGTCAATTGTTTCACTTCTGGCATAGGGCGGCGTCGAGCATTTGCATTTCTACGAAGCGCAGCTTGCTTGATTGCGAAAGGGTTGGTTGCTTGCTCTGCGACCCTTAGCGTAGCTGAAAGCGCTTTATCTAAGCCCTGGCTGTTCAATTATTAGCTGTAGTTGGGATGCATAGCTTAGGTAAAAAGCTTTCGACTGTAATGCTTAAAGCTTTAGCAGGGAATAATGAGCTTACATAAAAATTTTACGATCATGAAAATTGAAATAGAGCCAAGTAAGAATGTTATAGAGGGTGTTGTATACTACATGTATAGAAACTTATATAAAGTTGACATAAGGTGTCCCAAAATATCTTGTCAATCTTTCAATTCCCCACGGAGATGCTACCACCTTAATGACGCCACTTGATATACGTTTCTCTTAAACATACCATAATAACGATCAATCCGAACAGTTTCAATAATTAAGACTCTGGATCCATGATACTATATTTTGAAACAATAGTAATTCTAATAATAGATACGTAATTAGCGACCTTGGACACAAATTATCTCCACTGGCTAGGTTTTGGGCTATTATTTAATTTTTGGACATCGCATGTAATGTGTAATGTGCACCGATAACATAACAACGGTATTAATGCAAGACTCGTTACCTCAAAAACGACTAATTTTATCGATGTCAAGCGATGTATCTTTTTTCAACTAAAGGTTCTGGCTTGTTATACCGAAAATAAAATTAGCACTATTGCGTTAGAACTCGTTCATCCCTCAAAATTTAAAGAAGGCAACTGTTTTCCATTAACATCCTTTCGAAGATTTGTTGAATTACGAGTATACGATGTACCTTAGGAACTATTTAACGAAAACCAATTTTCTTCAGGACATACATCTCTATAGAGTGGCATTTTACAAAAATGTTTATAATAATTTATACTTATTTTCTGTATGCCCTGTATAGATCCAGATCTCATAACTTTCGTCTAGCTCATTGGACAAATTGGTCAAGCCCATTTTATATCAAAGTTCGTGAAAGTAGGACTGTTCAATGTTTAATGTTCAAATGTAGTTTTTGGCAATATTTTGACATTGGCGTGACAAACAACTTACGGAAGAAGAGCCTTCCTCCAAGTGCCTGCACCCTGTAGGCATGCTTGACCCAGGATGCTTCTAGCAGGTGCATTTTTATTGAAATATTTCCGAAACTAGCGGGAAAGCTGACGAAACTTCCTTTGCTATCATAAAAAAGTCTCATTATTCCCTGCTTCATCCAAGTATATGCATTGTCAAACTAAGTGATGCAATTACTCACAGCGGGCTGTTCAGCTGCCAGTAAGCCAGGTCCTCGCTGACCCAAGGATTGGAAGGCTGAGTTGGTGTTATCAAAGGATCGTATTCCGTATAGATCTCGACGTGCTGCATCATGCTTTCCAGTGCTTGAGATACCTTTATCCTTGTTTTGTTCAAGCTGCTTCGTAGCAACTCCACCTGCATAAAGATGTTCAATATCAGTGTTTTACTATCAGAGGGAGCCCCAATGCGGGATCTCGGAGTAGACAAACTTATGTTCGCTATAATCAATACACATGCATAAGCAATAATCTCATACAATATAGGGTGATCCAAAAATAAGATATGGCGTTACACTTTAGATTTTCCAATGGAAACCCCTATTTTTCTAATTTTCCATGAAGTTTTTAGTAACTTTTGTATAATATAAAGTTTATACCTAGCTTCAATCGTTGTGAAGCTATTTGAGTTTATAATAAAATTCGACCAACTTACCCTAATACTGAAAAACTACCACTAATACTATAAGCGCAGCAAAAATAATAATCATGGATACCAGCAAGAACATTTACCATTAACTGGTAACGTGCCTTCTGTGAGGCTGCAAGCAATTTTCTTTTCAATGTTTCAATAAAAATTTACCTGCCCTTCGGTCAATGACCTTATCTATTCTTTCTCCTATTGGTGCCCCGTCTACCGCATGAACAATGGTAAATTTGGGAAAACTTTAGTTCAGCGGCGATAAAAATTTTGAGGAAACTCTTCAGCGTTGGTATGAAGATGATGCAATGTGTAGTGATTCTAGTGAGTACTTCAGACGAGGAATTTGAAATTTCCGATCATGATAGTAGAAGTGAGTTATCTCAAAGTAGTAACGAGAATGAATAAGTTACAGAACAACGAAGTGTGGATGAGAGAAAGTATTTGTTTGGAGGAAACCGTCATAGTTGGTGCACAACCGAAGTTCGACCAATATCACGTACCAGGAAACATAATATTGCAATGAAAGTTCCTGTTATTGAAGGAAAATCCCGACAGCTCGGAGAAAGAGCAGATCCTATTTCCGTGTCGCAACTGTTATTTACTGAAGAAATGTTACAACATATTGTGAAAGACATCGGCTTTCAATTCAAACCATGAGAATATCAAAATATTCCGATAGGATTGGACTTGACCCTGAATTCAGAAATTAATCTAAGCCAACTCAAGCCGTTTTACGACTTGCACAGCCTTTATTTGGGTGCAACCGCAACGTCATGGGAGACAACTGGTTTTCATCGGTGGAGCTGACAGACATATTACTAAAAAAGACGCTCACATACGTTGTAATGTTGAACAAACATAAAAAGGAAAGTCCACCTTGTTTTTTACCGAACAAGACAAGGGAACGTGCATCAACTCGGTACGGCTTTTGTCAAGAATCAACTATAATTTCCCATGTTGGAAAGAAAAACAAGGCTACCATACTTATGTTCACAATACATGATAGGACTTTTACTGGTCCAGAGACAATGAAACCTGAAATAATTTCATACTATAATGCCAATAAAGGAGGGGTGGATTCTCTTGATGAGAAATGCGCAAAAAGTAGTTTTAGTCGTCGTACACGTAGATGGCCTTTAGCTGTTTTTTTACCGTATTCTTGACGTCTAGGTAGTAAATTCATACAGTGTTACAAAAACAATAATAATAATTTGATGTTGCAAAAGCGAAAAGCTTTTTATTTGTGACAAGACCACACATCGAATGACAAAATATTTGTGCTTGGAGTGTAGGAAACCAGTATGCCTACAGTGTTCAAATCCCAAAGGCAACATTTGTGCGAATAAACCTTAAATTCAGGACTTGTTGGGATATTTGAAGTGTAATATTTCTTGCCGCTTTGTTCCACCGATGTATTGTTTCAGTTATTATTGTTAGTAAAATATATAAAATTGCTTTTATTCATCATTTTTATCATCTTGCTTCCTTGAAAATTAATTTACCAATTTCTTTATCGAAGTAAAAAATTATCTTTTTTTTCACGTTAATTTTCCCGGATATAATAAATAAAATTATTACTGGAAATATGCACCTAAGAAACGATATATTATTTGTAAAAAACTATAAGTTTTGCTTATTTTTTTGCGTTGAAAGGGTGCCAGTCTCGTTACCAGTTGTGTACCAAATTTGCACATTACGATAAATATTGAACAATGACTTATTCAGTTAAAAAAAAGGTAGACATAACAAAACTATTACCAAAATCTGAGCATTGCAAATTTTCTCATCAACTTTGCCACATACTTATCGTTAATATTTTTGTCTTGATGCAAGGCATTAAACAACCGGGCAGTAGCTCTTGCAATGCTCCCATTTCGTTAATTCAGTTGTGTTGTTTCTACCCTTTCTTGAATTGAATAAGTCACTATTAAATATTTACCACAACTAGGTAGGTGCAACTTAACAATTGGAAATGAAAGACAAGGTTTTTCTATGACATACGATGACACTGACTGATGTTAAATGTTCTTGCTGGTATCCATGATCATTATTTTTTGTGCATTCGATTATTATCAGTATTAGGTGAGTCAAATTTTACTATAAACTCAAATACTGAAGATAGGTATAAGCTTTATCATATAAAAGTTACTAAAAACTTCATGGAAAATCAAAAGAATTAAAAAAATGGAAGTTTCCATTTAAAAATTCAAAGTGTAACGCAATATCTTATTTTTGGATCACTCTGTATTGTAGGGCTATAGATGAAAATATGTCTCCCTATAAATCAAAATTAACGTGTCCCAGCGTTTTTCCCAAAATATACCAGGAGGGTCACAAATGGAAGTGCGACCTTTTCATTGGGCCACCCTGTATATGTCTTTTCACTGTTTTTGGCAAGTCACAGGTAAACCATTGAAATCCCTGGTATATCATTTTCCTTCACATACACATTTGCAATCTACATCTATGGACGTTTAACGTTTATTTTTGTGAGCTCAAAAACATACGTTCGGTCTCACCGCCAAGCCCTGTCAAGCGGGACCGTGTCAAATGCTTGTTCCTGAAGTTGTGGTATTCAGTATACAACTTCTTCCCGTTCAAGTGATTGTACACGCGTTAAGGAATACCTGAGTACCGATTGCCGAGTAGCCGTACAAGTCTGCCAACGCCCACTATTAGGTATATTTAACATCACTAACTCGCAAAAAGAAGGTGGTATTCAAGGACCAGTCGACCGAGGTGGTGCCACCCGCTAGCTTTTTCCAGGGTGTCTTATAAATTTCTGCATGCTTCCACACCTAAGGGCCGCATCGTCAGTCAGTAGATTTCTACTGTTCCGTGTCAACGTCAGCGCTCTCCTTTTGTGAGGCTATTTTCTTTTCGAATTGTAAGAAATTTCATACCGATAGAACACTTGGTATAAATCAAAAAATCATGAATAATTTGATGCACATAGATATTTGTGACATAACATCAAAGTAGAGCGCTGACACGGAACAGTAGAAAACTAAACAAATCAAGGAGGTCATAACATCGTTCTACAATTGTAGGATAGATACGGCCCTACGCTACCCAGTCGGTTATCTCCCCAAAGAAAATAATGATGATGGATCCGTTGAGTACTATGAATTCCAGACATAAGCTTACTCCATTCTCGGAATATCCGGGTGGAAAGTGAACTCCAGAGAACAACATATTAAATGTATTTCACGAACATCTGCGGGATTAACAGCAACATTGCAATCTAATCGTCCCACGATGCCTTTCTTGACGGAGACAAAAATCTCATACGGGGGAGTTGTGGCTTTTGTCCGCAACAGTCTTTCCTGCTCCAGAGATGTTTTTTTTGGAATCAGAGCAGAGCATTCTGTGGCTTTGCATCAACTTCAAAACATCTCCCAAATTTGTTTAGTGCATTTATCGCTCTCCCTCGGACCATAACTGGAATGACCTACTTGAATATCTCGCTATTAAGATCGACTTCCTGAATATTAATCAGCCCGCCTCAGAAAATTTCAACAAATGCGAGTACAGTATATTCAGATAAGAGATAGACCGGACATAAACAAGACCACGTGATCATCGAACGCTGTAACATTCGGCAGGGACGTATTAAGAGTCGCGCAGTACATATTTTAGATAGTAGATGCTGCTTTGAGTAACTTTGTAGTAAATTAGCACAATTCGATGTGTATACGATTGGTGATGGATATAGGATCATGTGGGGGTGGGGTAAGAAATATATAATGATGTAAATATACATAAGGGTTTCAAAATTTTCGCTTCGATTTCCAGCTTCGGATGCCGCCTGATGTTTGGTGAAATACAGTCGAATATAATCTCAAAATGGCGTTTAAATTAGCCTAAATTAAAAATAATCGTATATCCCTTAAAATTGCTTTTAGAATATTGATTAGTATATTTTTTGATTTCTAGGTAAGTATGTAGCCAAATTAAAACGTTCAAAACGTAAAAAAATGTGCATGGTTGAACATTGTCAGAAAGTAGATTCTTGAATAGGTTTTGCCAAAATGGGTTCAAAAATGTCAATAATTAATTAAAAAATACAGTAGCTTTATAATTACTTATAACTTACCGAATTTGATGAACGACATCTTTTATTATTATTTTATATTATTGTTATTAATTCTAGTGCTTCTTTGAAAAGTCCTTTGTGGTCACAAAATTTAAAAGTTGTATTGTGCTTAGCTATATAATTTTTAACCTCTGCCCATATGAGCTCAATGGGATTGAGCTCGCAATGGTATGGAGGTAAACGGAGCACAGTGTTATTTTGACTTGCTGCCATTTCGTCAATGGCGTATTTTTGATATTCCGCCTTGTGATCCTTGACAATTCTTAATAATTGTACTTTCAGCATTGCTTCTTCAAAGTTGATATTTTTCGAGCGGAGCCAATTTTGAACATCAACTTTCCTTGAAGCCGTTGTTGGGACCTTCTCCATTCTTCGAGAATGATAAGGCGCATTATCCAACACAATTACTGCGTTTTCCTCTAAGTTCGGTAAAATTTTTGAAAACCACTGTTCAAACGATTCGCCATTCATTTCCTCGTGGTAATCTCCGGTTTTCTTAGACTCAAAGCACCACAGACCGTCAACAACAAATCCATCCTCACTGCCAATATGGCAGATAATTAGCCTTTTCCCTTTACCTGGAAATCGAAGTACTAACTGGTGTAGATTTATTTCAATAAGCGAACCTTTTCCAAATGTTTCCATCACATTCAGCGAAAAAACATTGAGACATGAGTATCAGATTGCTATAATTGGGATTATTTAGTCATATTGAAAGAAAGAATATTGCACGTCGTATGATTACTCAGCGCTTTACAATTTAATTTAAAGTTATAAACCTTTAAAAAATGAATGATCAGGAACCTGAAATACGCGCAAATATTAATATTAACAAATTATAACTTTATAAAGCTTAAAGTATGAATTAAAATGATTAGAAATATTAGGAACGGTACACAATATAAAACTGAGTAACTTTTTTTAAGTTTATAATATTCGACATATTTTAAGATTATATTAAAAAATTATTGAAATATCGAAAACACATAAAAACATGGCTTAAAAAAGTTCTAACAAATGAAAATGACAATAAAACATCCACGCATTTTATCGAAAGTTATAAAAGTTTTGTTACTTGTAATATGTTTTATCTGCCCTCTGGAATTAATGTTTAGAACCTTGTTCCCAAGGTTTGAAAACATCCGATTGTTGTCTATTACTCGTATTTACCTGCTGGATTTTTTAATCCGGTGGACAGTCCATCTAGAAAGGCCCTCCTGGATGAAGTTACAGAATCATCAACCCATACTTTACTTGTAGTGTGTCCTGCGTTTACCCACGTTTCATCAAGGTAATAAATCTTCCTGTTTTGATTTCTATATTTCCCAATTTTTGTTAAATAATCCCTCCTCCATAGCACAATTTCTTCTCTATCCTGTAGTAAACTATTACGACCCCGTTTTTTCCATTTGAAATTTAAATGCTTCAGTAACGCATGGAAAGTTGATCGTTTGAAATTTGGCAACGTTGTATCTCCATTTACCTCCTGCAGTACTTTATCTATAGTAGGTATTTCATTCCTAAAGAAGAATTCATGCACTTTCCTCCTAATCGCATGCTTATCAGCTTCATCCAATGATTTAACAATACTTTTGCGATGTTTACTGGTCATTGGCTCAGAAAAGGTGTGATTTTTTTTGTATTGTCTTAACACATTAAACACTGATGCGCGACACACCCCAACTTTGTGAGAAACCTTCACAACAATTTCTTTGATGGTTGATGCCTCGTTCTCCTCGCGCTCGATCTTATATATATTCAAAATGACCTCTTTCATTTCTGCACTCAGGTGTCTTTTTTTAGAGCGTTTCCTAGGTGGACTACAGGAGTTTACAACTTCATCGGCAGTATCTGTACTACTGGGCATTTTGCGCAAGCAGTTGATAACAATAACAATCAATAACAAGGTATAACAATAACAACGACAAACTCAACAACTTAATAAGATAACAAACGAAAACGTCCAAAGAAATATCAAATTGCAATGATGCACACGACATACGTAACACGTCTGAACCTGAATGTGACTCTGCCTTGATACGACTGCTCTGCCGCTTGGCATAGGCATTTAATTGCGAATTGACCAATGAGGGCTCCTGTTTTACGTCGAGACGGCGGCGTTAGCGTGAAAATCACCCGAACCTTTTGTTTACATCCGGTCTATCTCTTATCTGAATATACTGTAGTTCATTTGGAACACGAATATTCCTCACCTCTCTCCGACAATCCTCGATAGTTCTTTTTCTCGTCCGACAACCGGTACTCCACGTTCTTGTAGGCACAGGACATTGCTCTAAGGGACTAACCATTCCAGGGGGTGGTCTGTGAACTCTCCAATAAGCTCTCTCTTGACTGTCGCTTATCAGCTTATCTGCCTTTTTCAGTCCTTTCGACTGCTTTACCTAGATAATAATTGTTCATATTAGAAATTTATCATAGACCTTTAATATGGCTTTTCAGTCTAATGACTACATCAAATTAGATAATTTTTTACTAATCAGAGGTACAGCTGATGGGTTCTGAACGACATGTTTCAAAGGAACGATACTGTAGACGGAATTGAAGCAATGGATACCAATCATCCAGAAGAAATCGGTTCCAATGGTTTTGATTCTAAATCCGATCGTTTCAATTCGAATAAATAAAACCTGGTTAGATTGTTGCGATACCAACGTTTAAAAGCGGGTTGTAATTGAACTAACTGTTTGAAAAACTTTTTCAATTTCAGTACTCCAAATGAGTAACGATCTATAAGCTAATACAATAATTATGGTATGGATTTTGAAGTATAGACGGTTTTTGGATTTATGTTAGGTTCTCACATTAACGTCAAATGTAGGTGTATGGTATAAAAGATAGCAATCTGTGAAGCGTTTCAGGCAGCAAAACGATCCCTAAAGAAAATAGTTGCTTGAGAAATGCTGAAGTTAAATTGAGTCGACTATGAAAAATACTTACTTGTTCTTCAGCTTGCGATACGATGAAATCCCATTTATTGGCTAAATTCTTCTTGAGGTTGGTGAGAGCCTCTACCTCGTAGTCTTCCAATCCATGCCTCTGCTTATTCCGTAGCGTTCTTTTTGTTAAATAAATGGCGTATTCGACGTTATCTGGAGGGCGGTTCTGCCAAGGCCAGTAATAGGGGTTCTAAACGAAGAAGCAATATCAGAACGTCAACCATTGAGTTTTTTAAACATCTTTATGACATAGGCTCAATATGTATGTCGTTAAGGCATTCTTGGATTAAAAAAATAGAATATAAATAATATGTTTACCTGAAACCGATAGAGAGAGCTGTCATCCTTGACGACTAGGTTCTTGGAATCACTGATAGGAAAAAAATACCCGTATTGACACAGTTGATTGGCTATGTTGAGTGCTTCTGAAAAAAAAAACAGAAAAGAATATTTAGCTCAAATTTAACGCAGCTGTTAGATAATGTAAGTTGACAACTTCTGGCTGTTATAAACTTACCGGATTCTTCGATTCCTAGGCGCTCCATCAGCCATTCTATCAGGTCATAACCTAAACAGAATAATTGTTATAAGAATGAGCATAACAATTATTACACGTATACTTAAAAAGTGAGTTGATGATATTTTAAGAGCTTTAGATTACCAATAATTACTACACGTATATAATTAAAAGGCGAGTTGATATTTCAAGAGCTTGCGATTGCCAATAAGCATGAAACATCGGTACAGCAGTTTTCAATGACGAGTAAGCCATCATCTACTATATCGCCACAATCGACGGCATCAAGCTTTCATAGTAATGGGCTTTCAATGCGAACTGATATTTACTCGCAGTGATCGATTCTGGTAATAGATGGCACTTAGGCCACACTGATGAGTGCCAATAAGCATGAAACAGCTATACACGGTTAGTCTTCTGTTGTTCAGACGGACCAAAGCTGTATTATTAAACTTTATTATATGCTATCCCTCAATTGCAGCTACATAATTGATAGTATCCTTACCCATGAAAGCAGCAGGAATAGATGTTAAAAATATCTTTTGGCTTCTGACGGGGACTCCTCCATGCTCCGTATCCTGCATTTCTTTCACCAGCCCCTCCATCTACAAAGAAAGATGTTATGTTTCAGTCCACTATTTTATGAGGTTCCGAGTACGAAGTCAAGGCAGTCGATCTCCCATAAAAACAGGACAAGGGTAAAGGGAAAGACAGTAAGCTTACATGAAGTGCAATCAATCATTACTTCTTAGTGTTGCTTCATCCGAAAATCGATATAGAAGATTATCTGACATAAGAGTCGCGATAATAACAAATCTTTGAGGAATCGTCTGATTTACGGACAAGTCACCAACGAAGGAAGATCCTTGTGATGAGATTTTAATATTGTTCAAATGTCTCTTCTTTGGATATTATAGATCCGAGATGTTTGTATTCCTTACATCATTTTAAGGTTATAATTTCTAGCTCTGGATCTTCCTCATCATTCTCTATTTTAAGATACTCCATCTTTGACATATTCATACTTAGGCCCCATTTTTCATATTCTATCTTTAATTTTATAAACAGAGAGATTTTGATGAGAGATTTATGCTATTATCGTTTATGTCTCTTAAAAAGATAAAACAATGGTCAAGAGAAAAGTCACAGCCGACAGTCAAGGCAATGCAATGCGTTTGGACCATCTTTTCTGTTATTACATAAAAATAAACGACATCCTCTGTCTAGATACAAGCAGGTATTTCAGGTATGTATTGTACGTGCTTTTATACACTACTTTTAGCGGATGACCAAGTAGTGATAGCGAATTATGAAGAAGAACATGGGGTATATGACTAGAGAACGTATACATGAATACTGTGCATGGGGGTTGAACATCAATGTTATTTAAACGCAATACCTCATTATTCAAGAGTTGCCCACTGCTCTTCAGGTGGGCAATGTAGTTATACGACAAACCGACAAACCCAGGAGTTCAAATATCTGGGAACTTATCATCTGACAGTTCAACAAAAAAGGATATACAAAGCAGGATTGTTCAGGGTAAAACGGCAATCCAGGTATTGAATTCCATTTTATGGTCTTCCAAAGTTAGCATTAACACGAACGTTGAACTTTATCACAGTATCATGGAGCCAATAACTACATATGGGGCTGGCAGCTTACATCAAAAATAGAAGACCAGCTAAAAGCAGTTGAAATGGACGTCCTACGTCGGTCGTGTAGAGTATCTAGCTTGGACTATATCCGAAACGATATGATCAGAGCAAGGACGTTTGTAAAAGATACCATGGTAGATAGAGTAGAAAGAAGACAACTAGTATGGTACGGCCTTGTCATGAGAATGGCTGATGAAACCAACAGTAGGCCAAAAACATCGCGGAGGAAAGGGATAATGAATGAAGAAGATTGGGAAAACAGAAGAGATTGGCGATTGAAGTGCGAGAGGTGGTAGCAGCCGTAGGACCCTTGCTATGGGTGTTCCTTAATGATATGCGAAGGATGAGAATCTACATGAAAAATTAATGTTAGTTTGCTTTATATTTATAAACTATGGTTCAAAAATGTTTCCTTACAAAACTTGTGGTGTTGAAGTTTTAGGAAAAAAATGGAAATTAATTAATATTTTCAGCACCGCTGCAGATATTTCACTGATATTTAGTACGTAGTGAAAGTTAATGAAGTTGCATATTTTTCAGTGCAAAAATAATTTTTAGCTTTAACAGTGGCGTGCGTACGGGTATTGACTTCGATATTGTTTTTAAGAAAACAATAGTACGCCAATGGTTCTTTGCCAAATAAAAGTTATTTTTGAATCCCCCGTTCTCTCTTGAATAATTTTCCTTCGATGCGCCATTTTTAAGTAAAAAAATAAAAACCGTTCTATGGTCCGAGAAATTAATGTAATAATTGAAGAATGCAATTTAGCGATAAGTATCTAGTTGCTCTGGAACATGTCACTGGCTTTTGACATCTGACAAGCCTCTGTTATTCAAATCTGTTCGCTGTGACCTCTTTTTCATTGCTTAGTTTTTACAATCTTGTTAATAATGGTGAATTATTCAAATGCAGAATTGGCGAAAACGCAATACGTATATGGTCTTGCCGACGGTAATGGTGAGCAAGCCAGACGGATTTATCACCAGAGATATCCCTATCGTGCTTTGCCAGATAGTTGAACCTTTTCTAATATTCATCGTCGCCTTGTTGAAACTGGTTCTGTCCGAAAAGGAACATCTGAAGGTGGACCTCTAAGTGTGAGAACACCTGAAATTGAGGAAGCAGTGCTGCACGAAGTCGAAGAACATCCTGAAACGAGTACGAGGAAGATCGCTAGACACTTAAATATTTGCCATCAAATTGTTTGGAGAATTCTAGTGGATTTTTTTATATCCTTACCATATTTTAAGAGTACAGGCATTACTTCCCATTGATTTTCCAAGGTGTGTGACCTTGTGTCGGTGGTATCTTCCAAAAATCACACAAAATCTGCAATTTGAATCAATGATTCTGTTCACGGACGAAGCTAATTTTTCTCGAAATGCCATTCAGAATATCCACAATAATCATTTGTGGGCAGAAGAAAGTCCCTATGCCGTAACCGAAACCCATTTCCCACACCAATTTTCGGTTAACGTATGGGCAGCAATTATTGGCAACCACTTTATTGGCCCATTCTTCTTGCCGGGACGACTTGACCGACAGACTTACCTCAATTTTGTTCAACAATAGTTGCCTTTGCTGCTTGATGATGTTCCATTAGTAATAAGAAACAATATGTGGTACATGCATGTTGGTGCATCAGCGCATTTCAGTGTAGCGGTTCGTAATTATTTACAAACTGTTTATCCAAATCGTTGGATTGGCCGCGGTGGGCCCCAAGAATGGCCACCAAGGCCCCAGACCTCAACAGTTTAGATTTCTTTTTATGGGGCTATCTTAAGACACTAGTGTACACAAGTACCATTAACACTGTAGAGGAATTAAGAGAAAGAATAGTTGCAGCTTGTGATAGAATAAAAAACACTCCAGGGATATTTCAACGAGTCCTCAATTCCATGAGAATGAGAGCGGAAGCATGCATACTAAGTGAATGGGGCCATTTTCGATCATTTTTGTAATCATTTCGTTGGTTTGAATGTTATATTTATGTTGTCAGTTGTTGCTGCTCATTACCCCTAATGTGTTTAATTTTTACAATAAAATTAATAATAATTTTTAAGTTAGACAATAGAACGGTTTTTATTTTTTTACTCAAAAAATGGCGCATCGAAGAAAACGATTCACGAGAGATCATTTGTTTTAAATTGAACGGGGAATTCAAAAATAGTTTTTTTAAAAACCATTGGTGTACCATTTTTTTCTTAAATATTATCAAAGTCAATACCCATACACACGCCACTGTTAAAGATAAAAATTATTTTTGCATTGAAAAATATGCAGCTTTATTAACTTCCACTACACCACACAGTGAAATATCTGAAGCGGTTCTGAAAATATTAATTAATTTCCATTTTTTCCTAAAACTTCAACACCACGAGTGTTTGTAAGGAAACATTTTTGAACCGTAGTTTATAAAGCAAACTAACATTATTTTTAAATGTAGATACACACCCGAAGTTCGTATATCATTAAGAAACACCCTGTATACACGAGAAGAGGTACGAACTTGAATTAGGTAGACAAGACCTCATGTATTTAAAATTCTTCTTATACTGAAGAAGAATTTTGAATACACGTGGTTTCACTAGCCAAACAAATATGGGGAACTATTGATACGGACATCACAAGGTAGCATTCAAATGTTGCATTGAAAAGGTAGGTTTTGGTTAAGGCTTGAATACTTCTACATCACCGTTAAGAATAGATGTTGCATTGGATGTGTACCGAAGATTTTATCCATGATTGCACCGAATGACATGAATGCACTAAAGGCAAAATGAGATACTTTCTCGTTCAACGCGATCAGACGCAGATTCTACCTGTAAATGAAGAATTGCCCTGGTTTTGCGAATGCACACGTACTTTTTGTCGCCAAAGACATCTTTTGTATACCATTTTTCATGTTACTCTATATTTTTGTACTAGTATTCGTCATTTGTTTGTTCGGGCGGTCCGTAAGATTTTTGCCCATTAGTCATTGTCTAATGAACGTTAGCCGAATCTGTCAGTCCTGGTTGCCCAGAAAGCAGACAATGTCAAGGAAAAAGAGAAAGTGAAAGAGAAAAAAAAGGAGAAGAGCAAAGAAGAACAGAAGTGTATCAGTTGAGGAGGAAAGACCTAGTCTTTTAGACTTGAAACACAGATTAAGTTTTAGGTGAACTAAAAACAACTTTTGATTCAGGTTTTGACAGAGTGTAACTTTGGGTTTATTGAAGGTCGACAAATTTTTGGTCACAGCGCGAGCCGTGGCCTTGAATATTTGTATTAATGAATCTGAAAATTATCATAGTAAATCTGGGTTTACGAGGTCAATAGAAAAGACAAATACGATTCTGCAGAAGGATAATTAACACAATTTTTCGTGACGAAGCGTCATGAACATTAGATTAGGTTGATTTAATTCAGTCCATATGGACTAGAGTGCTTCTGGATGACTGTTCCTTCTCGATCATCTCTCCTGTCATTCTAAAGGCCCGGCACAGGTATTATGTAAAAAACCTATAAAACGTCAAAAAAACCTATAAAATGTCATCTTGCAGACTAGGTAGTGTTTAGGGTGCAAACAGTCAAGCTAGGCAGCAGCGGTGGCCGCAGTAGTAGACTCTTCGGTCTCCTGATCAGTCGCCGTGCGCTGTGCGGGTTCGAGTCCCGTCCCAGGAGAAATTTTTCTCTTGGCTATGGATGTTGTGATTGTCCGTAGGTGGTAGACGGTCTCTGACTGTCGAACGCGGAGGTACCACCCGGCGGATCTCGTAGGCGGAGCCAGAATGTGTGCATGTTGCATGCACACGTGTTCCCTCGCCAGAGTCCGTGTGGCGTTCCCCCTTTCCCCTGTATCCCCTTATAGCCCCACGGTACCCAATGGGTGTTTAAGCCTTAGGCCTTCGTGGTAGTTGGAGTATAAAAAAAAAGCTCGCTAGGATTGTTATGAGCGTTCATCTATGGAGCTCAACTACACGCATTCTTGGTTGCATATGTTTTGTGAAGCCGAGTAGTCTATAGTTTTCATCTCTGAGAAGAAAGTTGGTTAAATAGCAAGATCGCATCTAGATGATTGTCTGTATTGGTCTGCATGTGTATAAAATCAGTTATATTTGCTGTGTGAGAAAATCATTACTGAATAAGCTGCCAATGAAGTATATCTATTAGCTGTGCCCGACCAATTATTTATATGTTGTCCTTTCTGAAGACGGATTCAGTTCAAAGTTATAAATTAGGTTTTTTTGCGTTTTTTGTGTTCTCAAAAACTTTGAGGAGAATTCACCACCGCGATCGCGTTGGGTGTAATTACTGTTAGCAGTAATGCCATCTCTGAAGCAGATTTTACATCACATCAAAGCCAAACATTGATAACTGAAGCCTTATGACGTTTAGGCAACACGTATAACTACAAAACGGGTTCACAACGTGTCCATAACCTAGGGCTAAGCTAATATCATGTAGAAAAACCTACATAATGTCGCAAAAAACGAATATAATGTCAAAAAATCGACATAAGATACGTAATACTCGTGCGGATCTTGACAAAACCAGTTTGTCCGGTTTGTCGGTTCTACGACGACCGCTTCGACACAAAAAACAGATGGTTTGACAAATCATAAACCGAACAGCCGATCCGGGGTTTGCCAAACCGTATAGCTGAGCTCTAAAATATGAGCCAGGTTTTAGAATTTTCTAGTTATGAATATCGTATACGGAACTTCATGACCCTACAACCTTGAGGTTTTACTAACGTGTATTAATTCTGGCCTTAGCTATAAGTTTACCTTCTGAAAAGCACTCGGCCTGTGACATGGACGGGGCTCCCGATTGGCCGACGAGGGTGGTTGCCCTGCTGGATGTGTCTGCGTATGTTCCGCCGCAGCAGTGGCGGTTGCGGAAGCCGGCGCGTGCGCAGTGGCGTTGTGGTGACTATGGTGGTGGTGGTGATGATGGTGGTGTTGATGGTGGTGGGCCGCGCTGGCTGGCGGTGGGTGGTGCTCCATGCGTGTGGGCGTGGCCGGAGGCCGGGGGGCGGTCCCCCTGCTTCTGCTGTTACTGCTCGGGCGCTGCTGCTGTTCAGGAAAAGACACTGCTCTTGTAGTAGGGGGACAGCCAACGGGGGGACCGCCGGCGCCGCGACCACCTCCTGCTGCGCCGCACTTCTTCGCGGCCAACGCCAACGCCGACTCCTTCTCACCTACAAGGAACAAGTCATCAGAAAGTAATCAAAGATTCACAAGACAGTGACAGAAATATCTATGGTAGACGGTATATAGAAAAATAATATGAAGGTTTCCATAAACATATACTAAGTGACATATAAATCCGAACACCCAGTTTAAATGGTTTTATTTTAATAAAAGTTGGTGAAGTGAAAAAATTTTCAGCCTTATCAGTTGGACATTCCGGTTTTATACTGCTTTTTTTTAATTCACTAACGCTCTAAAAATGAATATTTCATCCGCAATAAAGGATCAACGTTGTTGGATTTTGGTTCTTGACATCCTTTACGATTGGTTACGATGCCTAGAGTACGGAAACCTGTACGATTTCGTCAACTTAGTGAGTTTGATAGGGGCCGTATAGTGGGACTTCGGGAAGCTGGACTTTCTTTTCGGGCAATTGCAGTTAGAGTGCAAAGAAGTGTAGACACTGTGGTTAGGTATTGTCAGGCATGGCTTCGAGAAGGCCGTACGCAAAGAGCAAGGGGCACTGGACGCCGCCGTAGAACAACAGACCGTGAGGATCGCCGCCTAAGATTATTGGCCTTAAGGGACCGTTTCTCCACTACCAGGTCCATTGCAAATGAATGGTTTGCAGACCACGGAAGACCTGTTGGCATGCGAAGTGTTTACCGACGAATGAGAAGTTTTGGCTTGTTTTCATACCGGCCACAGTGGGTCCTCCCTTTAACTCGAGAACACCGACGTAATCGCCTTGAGTGGTGCAGATAACGGTCACTCTGGGATCAGGAATGGAACAGTATTGTCTTTAGTGACGAGTCTCGATTTTGTTTAGGCATGCACGATGGTCATGCCAGGGTTAGAAGGCGACGTGGTGAAAGGAGGAATCCACAGTTTTTTGTTGAAAGACATGTTCATCACACTGTTGGAGTTATGGTTTGAGGTGCTATAGCTTATGGTTCCAAGTCACCTTTAATCTTCATCAGAGGTAACATGAACGCGCAGCGTTATATCCACGGAGTTCTAGAACCCCATCTTTTACCCTATCTTGACACCCTGGCAGATCCAACTTTCCAACAAGATAATGCCCGACCACATGTTGCAAGAGTCACAATAGACTTCTTTCAACATAATGATGTCACATTGTTACCATGGCCACCAAGATCTCCCGACTTATCCCCAATTGAGCACATGTGGGATATGATGGGTAGGAGATTGCTCAATTTGCAACGTCCTCCTCAGACTCTAGAAGCACTTCGAGAGGAGTTGGTGGTTGCCTGGAATGAGATACCACAGGAGGACATTGACCACCTGATCAGAAGCATGCCTAGGCGCGTTGGAGAATGCGTAGCACATCAGGGTGCATCCACACATTATTAAAGGTCAAAGGGCTTTAAAGCAGTGCAATCATTTTGAAATTTTCATCATTTACTTATTATGCTTCATTAAGTACTTATACAAAATTTTATTAAAATAAAACCATTTAAACTGGGTGTTCGGATTTATATGTCACTTAGTATAACCTCCAAAACGCCACGTGATCGAGATAAACACTCTGAAATAATGGTCTTGTCTATAATAATAATAATCAATTTATTCCAATTGACCAAATACATTAGTCCAGTTAAATAGCCGAAACTGAGACAAAAGTGATAACATAGTCACAAAATATTATTTCCGCTGGCTTAATGGTGTAATAAAGGTTTGCGAATATTCTTGTATGAATTTGGTTTTCCGGAAAACAGCGAAAAACCCAAAAAACCTCTTTTTCGCTGAAACGGCTGAGCATATCTGGGATTTTTTTACAAGTAAATTTTTCTAATTTTTAGTTCATCAAAAAAGGTTTTGCAATTTTGTTTGCTAAAATGCGTAGTTTTCGCGCTACAGCTTGCTGATGGTTTGATGGTGAGGGGCTTGCGGGGAAAGGGCGCACGCACCTGCATTCCTGCATACCACCAATCTGCCGCCGCACCATCTACCAAGTCTTCAGTCACGTTGGTCGCAAAGCTTTGATGAGAAAGTCGCCAGAAATCGCCAATCTTTGAAAGAACTATGAGTCAACCAAAAAACGCCATGTTAGATATTGGAATGAATTTGCGGGAGGGAGGGGGGACGATAGTAGCCTGCCTGTTAACTGAAGAGCGGAGGTGAGCGAGGTTAGACATTACAATAATGTTATATGATAGTAAACAATTCCTTGAAAATTGAGGGGGGAGGATGGGGGCGGGTGGGGAGTTTGTTAGACACGTGTCTAATCTGAACGAAACTATAAGTTCATTCTCATGGGGTGGATCCATTGTGCTTAGAGCACAGAACTTTCGCTGGTCCTCGTTTCATGTTCCATTAATCTATACAATTATTTTTTACAATGCTGTACCTCGATCCAAAAAATTGCTATCATATGATGAATTTAAAAGGCATATGAATAAATTTATTTTGAATACATAGAAGTATATGAATTATTGATAAAATTTATCTGTCACCTCACACAAAAATATTTCCAATATAGCATTCCTTTGTTTGTATATATAACTGTTACAATTTTATACTTTTAACTCATGAAATATTGAATAAACTTCAACTACAACTGCATTTTTAAACTTGTAACCTATCTAATGTATTTATGTTTTTTGTATTGCATTTTCGGTTTTTCTTTTTTTTTTTTGGGGGGGGGGGTTAAGTGGCAGAGTAGCATTATGCTAAACTTCGCCCCCTAAATAAACACGATTTTTTATTATTATTATTATATCGGCAAAAATAGATTACAAATTAAGTGGCGTTAGGAATGCCACTAAAGTAGCCAATCGCCAAGCCATCTATTTTAGTCGCCATTTGAAGTTGTCAAATCTCTACTTTGGCGAAAAATCGGCAGCCCTGCTATCCACCCGTTTACGACACAGACGATCCATGGTGGGCGGTTATTCAGTAATAGTCCAGTTGAATTTTGAACCCTGAGATCGCTTGTCAGTTTGGCGTTCACCGACTTTTTCGAATGAACTAATTTTCGAAGTCTATGCGTTCAAGTAAGAGGAGTAATTTCTCTTCAGTTGCTTGTCGATTTACTGGATAGGTGAGGTAAGTCTGTGTACATTTTAGAATTAAAGTTAAATATTTTTCCCGCATAAAAATATTTCATTGGAGACTAGAAATTATGGACAAACCATTTATCGGATGATGCATCAATTTTGTGTAATTTCGATTTTGATAGAACGACAATTTTTTTATTATTATGGTTCTGTTCAATTAACTCAACTCTGAAATGTACACACGCGTACTTCCATTATAAATAATTAGAAACGCAAAAAATCCCTGAGCTGCACAAAAAAGGTGTAATGTCCTGTGCAGATAAGTTGTATAGCTCATACTGCCTTGTCTACACGTCAAGCTAACGTACACCGATACATTGAGACTAGGACTAGACCAATGAGCATTATTATTGGTTTCCACAGGGAGTGTGCAGAGAAGACATCAAATGCTCATCACAATCGGCCATTGTCTATTCTTTACATATTTGCGTTGGCGTAAGTTAGTCCAACGTATAGATGCGGCTCAGGAACTGTTAATTCTCTTATCATGGTCGTAGATCAAGAACTACCGGTGATCAAACTGATTTGCGGGGATGATTATGCAAATAACGTGGAGCCACGAAAACGAGACTTTTGATGACTCATTGGGCGTTTACATCCTGTAAATGTATTCTTATCATTGCCACTCATTTATATACACGTTCACACCTTTTTCGCAGCTCTAGGTTTTTTGTCGTTGTTCCAATTCTAAATGAAAATTATATACCTCACTTATCCAGTCAATCGGTAAGCGGCTGAAGGGAAATTACTGCATCTTGTACTCTACTTAAACGCATAAATTTCAAAAATGCATTAATATGCATACATCGGTGAACGAAACATCTACAATCGAGCTTATTATTCGAAATCGACTGGCCTATCGCTGAGAGTTTGACACTGAGGACGTGCAAGTATTAAAAGAGGAACGTCCCCGTCAACGCAACGGTGTGGCGGCTGGTGATATGTGTACGCCGTCCACGAACCCGCAAGCCCCTCGCCAACAAGCTATCAGCAAGCTGTAGCGCGAACACTAAGCTATTTAGCAAAAAAAATCCAGAGACCTTCATTGATGACCCAAAAATTAGAAAAATCAACGTGAAAGAATCCCATATAACCTCATCCGTTTCAGCAAAAAAGACGTTTTTTCTTTTTCGCTGTTTTACAAAAAACGGCTGGTTTCCGGAAAACCAAACTCTTACGACAATATTCGCAAGCCTTTATTACACCATTACGTCAGCGGACATAACTGTGTGGCTATGTTATCACTATTGCGGCAGTTTCGGCTATTTAACTGGACTAAGTAAGTACGTGGCGTAAGAAACGTTCATGCACACTCAAAGGATAGTATACATATTTATAATTTTACAGAAAAAGTAATCATATGATGACTACAGGCTACCTCAGAGCATTGCAGAACAGACCTAACAGATCACCTTCAAGATCCCAGATATTGCGCCACAGGCTTATTCAGGAAATAGGTAGTCACGTCTTTTTGTACACTCCTAGATCATTAATATCTGTAATATAATTTTATAATTTATTGAACAGTTTCAAGCCGAAATAGTTCTTACTGTTTTCAAAATTGGACGAATGATTTGCGAGTGTAATGGCTCTTCTTTACAATCGGAGATTACAAACGATCGTGTAGAGTGCATACTCGGCTGTACTCGCCGATTATCGTCTATGATCCGTGAATTTTCGGTTTTTCGAACACGCATCAAAGGAAATCGCCGGGCCATATTGATGGTTGCCGTTTGATAAACTACTCATACTTATGCTCGTGTGGATGCTTGCCTGATGATCGTGCCTATTATGAACGATCATACGATCAACGATCATCGCCGATAGTGAAGTGCAGTTATGATAATCTGATTTGACTGGAAAGTCACAGAAATTTGATTTTACGTGCATTAATAGTCCATTCATCATAATATGTGGAACTGTGATTA